GGTAAGAGTACTAAATCAAGGGGGGTCAGCGGGTTAAAGCCATAAACAATCTCAAAAGGTGAGTATTGTGTGGCACTATGAACAGTTCGATTGTAGGCAAATTCAACATGAGGCAAACACTCTTCCCAAGTTTTAAGATTCTTTTTAATCAAAACCCGAAATAGAGTTCCAAGTGTGCGATTGACAAGTTCAGTTTGTCTATCACTTTGTGGGTGACTGGTGGTAGAGAATAACAATCTAGTGCCAAATTTAGACCACAACGTCTTCCAAAAATAACTCAAGAACTTGACATCTCTATCACTAACAATGGTCTTAGGCATGCCATGCAGACGGATAATTTCTTTGAAGAACAAATTAGCAATATGAGATGCATCGTCAGTTTTGTGACAGGGGATAAAATGTGTCATCTTAGAGAATCTATCAACCACGACAAAGATGGAATCACTACCCCTTGGTAACCTAGATAGCCCTAAGAGAAAGTCCATAGATAAGTCTACCCAAGGATTGTGAGGAATAGGCAATAGGGTATACAAGCCGTATGGATTTGTTTTAGACTTTGCCTTATGACAAGTGACACATCTACCAACCATGCGTTCAACATCTCTACGCATGTGTGGCCAGTAAAAGTGCTCTTGTAACATGGCTAATGTCTTAACAGTGCCAAAGTGTCCCATGAGACCACCATTGTGTGCCTCTCTAATCAAAAGATCACGAATGGAAGAGTTAGGGACACACAATTTATCCACATAAAACAAAAACCCATTGTGTAAAAAATACTTTCCATGTGGACTCTTCATACAAGATGCTTAGACATCACTGAAGTCAGTGTCATGTGCATATAGGTCTTTAAGCATTTCGAATCCTAACAACTTAATATCAAGCACAGCAAGCAAGGAATGTCTACGTGATAAAGCATTAGTTACCACATTCGTTTTGCCAGTTTTGTACTTAATGACATAAGAGAAGGCGTCAATGAAACTTACCCATTTGGCATGGCGCTTGCTCAACTTGGGTTGCCCTTTGAGAAATTTCAAGGACTCGTGATCAGTGTGTATCACGAACTCCCTTGGGCGAAGGTAGTGTTGCCAAGTCTCCAATGCACGTAGAAGTGCGTAGAGCTCTTTATCGTACGTGGGGTAGTTCAGGGCAACACCTCCTAGCTTCTCATTAAAGAATGCACAAGGCCTCTTGTCTTGCATGAAAACGGCGCCAATACCTACACCAGAGACATCACATTCAATTTCAAAGGTCTTGTTAAAATTTGGTAATACCAAAACAGGTGCATGTGTGAGTTTGTCTTTGAGGGTGAGTGTGACGGCCCCACCTCCCCTTAAGGCGAACCAGAGGGTTCGACGGGCCGCCTGCCCGGCTCTCGCCGGGACTCAGTCGTTCACTAAAGTCCTCAAATGAATTACAAGAATAAACCTCAAATTTACATCAAATTCTCCAATAATTACATATCACAAATGCAGCGGAAACTTATTCCAATCGTGGAATGTATACTTACATCCATATCAATTTCAAATATTTATACAAGACCAACTCGTACATAAAATAGATCCAAACTTAAACTGTACACGATATAAGCCATCCAGTCACGTGAATAAGCACAACAAGCCCTTCCTTCGCCTTGAGCCCTGTGGGGGGGAAATAAAATATTTTTGGGGTGAGCTAAAAGCCCAGTGAATAACCAATAAAATCAGTAATCAAATAGTTTTCACAAAAATTCATTTCATTGATGTCATGGTTCAGAAATCAGATGTACGTATTTTTGCTCTCGTGAGCCAGTGAAATCATTGTAATGTTTTAGAAGTTCAATAAGTAACCGGGGGTAAAAATGTAATTTTGTTACAGGTCAACATTTGCACAGTGAGAGTAAAACAAAAGCAGAAAATGACACCACATGGTAATTCCACAAAGCTCAATGAGCTAAAATCTCAATGAGGTTCCGAACATGAAATTTCATAACAAAGCCAACACATTAACCATCAATAATCAATAATTCAAGAAACATTTACAATGGAAAGCGATAGTAACATATTCATTAAAAGGATACCGCTCACATGGAGCTATTCATTTGTTCGTTCCCCTGACATTTCCCCTTATTCCTCCAATTATTTGAAAATTTCATTTTTATAAATAAACCCTCGTTCATCTTTTTATTCGTTCATCCCCTTTTCCGGACGTTGACCGGACTCCACCCATCCGACGTTGGCCGGACTCCACCCATCCGGACGTAGCCGGACTACAAGGTAATACTCGAGTATACCAAATTCACCCAGGGTCACCATATCGCCCGACCGAGTCCGCTTCTGGCTCGAGTCGATCGGTAACGAAGGGCAGTGGCCAGTTCAGCCAAAAGGCTTACATCGATGCGCAACTAGCATTTAATCATTAATCATTGAAAATTCATATTTATTTAGGTCGAGTGCGATAAAGTACACACTCGCCTAGAAAACTCGTTTTAACAATCATCGAAAGTACTTAACACATTTTCAATTAATAATGACAAGCCAATAAGTCAAAATTACAGCAACCAAGGGACACTGATATGCAAGTACGCATGATATGCCAAGAAAACAGTTCAAAAGTAACTTTTGGAAACAGTTTAAAAGTAAATAATGCAGGAAACGGTTCATAAAGAACTTCAGAAACAGTTTGAGGTCACTCACCTCAATGGCTCAGAAATCATCCATCATGTATCATTGCCTTGCTCAAACCCAAGTCTTAGATCACAAACTCAATGCAAACTAGTCCTTTAAAAGTTCGGACAGCACTTCCCCTGAATTTGCTTACTTTTCCAGCCGTCAAGGCTTCATTATTTCCTCAGCCAGTTCCAAAGTCACACAAATAAGTTCATCCAATAGCCATTCAGCAAGCTCCAAGTAGTACTAGTACAAGTCAAGCTAGGAAAAGTCCGGAAATGAAGGTTAAGCTCAAAACCAGAAAAACAGTTTTGACGTCATTTTGCGGTAATGGTACCAAAGGCTCTACGATTGTCGGATGAAAGTGCAAGACCCACCGTTTCGAAGCTATGGAACAGGGCTACAACAATGTAGAAGGTCACTCAGTCCAAATCCTAGCACAACTAGGTCAAATGTGCCAAATACTCAACTGGAAACACCAAAAAACAGGTTTACAAATCACATAATGCTGTAATTACTATAACTCAGTCTATACAGGTCCAAATGCCAAAATTCCAAAGGCATATGGTAGCTAAGACATCCAGCTACATTTCATTAGAAGACACCAACACCTAAATCCAAAGAAATTCCAGTCAAAACAACCAGTTACAGTCGCAAATCCCAATTTCGGGTAAACCAGAACAGCAATAGTAATTTCGACTTTTCTCATTCCACACTACTCCGATTGACCTGAAATTTTGTAGGCACCTTTAAAATGTCATTCCCTACAACTTTCATGTTTTAAGCCAAGGCCAATTCGGCCTCTAACTAGGAGCTATAAAACCGGACAGAATGTAGCTTCACAAAACCTAATTTTCTGAAATTTCTTCCAAAACAGAAATTGATTGCACTTAATCACTTTTTCCACCTCCTAGAGTCATTAAACATCATTTCCAATCATCATACATGACCACCCAATCATATCCCTATGAAAACAGAAAAATCTCCAAAAATAATAAAACTTCACCAATTCAACCAAGGGTGGATCAATTACTGCAACAGGAATTTGGCTCCTGAGAGCCACCTGTATCCTTTCTATCTAAGGTGTTTGTTCATTTCCTCAAATGTTGTGTATATGTGCCTTAAAAGTGAAATGCCATGATTTTTACTACTTGTACTTGTAGTACCTCATTGAGCGTAAGCTCACCCCGTTCCCGTTATCTTTGTCTTCCTTACAGGATTCAGTATTTTGAGAGTTATGATTTTGAATATAAGAGTTGAGCCAGTTCTAGACGTTTCCTTTGATTAGACTCTTCTGTACTGGCAAACCCTAAATGTAGTTTATATAAATATGACTACTATGGTTTATACTTCAAGTTAACTGGTTGAAAACTCCGATGTACATATGTAAATAAGTGTTTGATCGGGTGTTTCAAGCGTATTCATTTGAGATTGTACGTTTCTATAGCTATGTGAATTTTCTTGTATCCATTGGGGAAAAAGAAGCGAGTGTGAAGCTTGAACGAGGAAGAAAAAATTTTGGTCGGATTTTAACGCAGCCACGGTCCTTAGCACTTTCCGATGATTCGTTTTCCTGATTATTTGATCCGTAGTCCTGGCGAGAACTGGGCAGACAGTCTGCCGACCCTTTAGTTCGCCTTTGGAGGAGGTAGGGCCGTCACAGATGGTATCAGAGTTGTTTCGCATGGTCTCTGTGCGAAGTGAGCTTGGGCCAAGTGGTGAATAAGTGTAAAGGACTAAATGCTCTTTTGAGCATAAGCTATAGATCGTGAAATGTTATAGGTTTCAAACCTTTATCATGGTACTTGGAGATAATCGATATGTATGTCAGGTAGGAATCTAAGATGTAGATGATTTACTCTTGGGACTGGCCCAGCTCAAGTTGTGAATTATCGTATTTTGGATTCTTGTACCTGAATACTAAAAATGAGAGCTTAGGTTAGAAATAACTTGGGTGATCTAGAATTTTGATTCTACGGAAGTTCGTGTGATGTGTTAGGGTGCCATTAAGTATGATTAACCCATAAGGGGGAGAGTACGTTGGCTCAATTGGGAACTAGGTTAGGGCTCCTTAGAGTCATGTTTTGATTCCCTGTGAGGGATAGTTAGGGAAAGTTCTCAGTTAGTTGTTTTGTACTTTTGGCCTAATTTGTGCATTTTATTTTTGAATGACCTCGATACTTTCATGGAATTCTTTTTACTTGTATCTGACTGACTGCTACTGTGTAATCTATTTGATAAAGATGTGTTATATGTATACTTGCCTTTTGAGTTGTGTCTTATTTTGTCACTTGTACCTGTATACCTTTGTTTTACTATTGTATTCGTGCTTCGACCCTAGACTAGTTAAATTAAATGGAGGGCACTCGTAGTGGACGAGACCGTGGGCGCAGCTCTAGGCAACCGTTGACTGAAGAGGGTACTCGTGTACAAATGCCGAAACCAAACCCTGAAATTGGAGTGGATTCTAATGCTCTGGTAGCTGCCGCTATCCAGCGTATGACCGATCTATTGGCCCATGTAGCAGAACGCTAGGGCCAAAACCCTATTCTCCAACCTGGAAACCTTGGAAACCATATAGAGGGTGAGGATAAGGCCCTCGAATGGTTTCAAAAGTTCTCTCCACCACAATTTATTGGAGGACCAAACCCAGATGTGGCCGAAAAGTGGTTGGAGAAAATGATTGACATTTTCGCTGCCCTGCATTATACCGAAGAGAGACAAGTAATATTTGTTGTCTTCCAATTAGAGGGAGCAGCCCGTTCTTGGTGGAATATGATCAGAATGAAGTGGGAGAGGGAGCAAACACCAAGGACTTGGGTCAATTTCATGAGAGAGTTCAACGCCAAGTATTTTCCTCCTTTAATTCAAGAGCAAAAGGAGGATGAGTTTATTAAACTTCGTCAGGGAGCTCAAACCGTGGTAGAATACGAGAGCCACATTACTAGGTTGTCTAAGTTCGCTCCAGAACTTATTGTGACTGAGCAAAGAAGGATACAACGATTTACTCAAGGGTTGAACGTTGAGATTCAAAAGGATTTAGCCGTAGCCCAGATCAATACATTTAGTGATGCTGTAAAGAAAGCCCTACGAGTTGAAAATTTGAGACTTCAAGTTAGAACCTTCCAAGTGAAGAAACGGGGATGGCCTGGAAGTAGTTCAAGACAAGAAAATGAAAGAGAACTGGAGGAGTAAGACTTCCCAGGGAGTCAAGGGGAGCCCAGGCCAGAGGTGGACAAGTTGGGCGAGAACCAAGTGGTGCCTCACAGGGAGGCTCGTCTTCTGCATTCCGTGGTCCCTGCGAATTTTACGGGGGGCCAAATCATACGGAGAATAATTGCTGGAAAAAAGAGGGAAAATGCCTGCGCTATAGGAACGCCGATCATCGGATTGCTAACTGCCCAGTTCGATTACGAGTAGGGAAAGGGACCCAGCAACCAACCAAAACTAACCTTGGACAGTCGAAAGGGGAAAGGACTGGAACAAAAGTACCGGTTCGGGTGTATTCCCTAGAGCAACATCGGGTCTCTGACTCGCTTGAGGATGTAGAAGGTATGATTCCCGTAATTCACCGTTTAACTAAGATTTGGATAGCTTCTGGTGGTTAGAAAATTTTGAGGATGAAATTTCTTAAGGGGAAGAAAGTGTGAGTACTTGTAAAATCCCTTATATTTTTCTTAAAATTTCCTTTTATTTGGCATTTATTCCTTTCTAATAGCTTTACTACTCATTCACACCCTCAGTAATTGTAATCAACCATAGCATCAAGGGTTTTCCCTTTAGGTTCTTAGTTCAGGTAAATTAGGGTTTTTCACATATTTTGACCGTGTGATCACTTGGTGAGATGTGTACATTAATTTCAGTGATTAAGGATGAGTTTAGATGATATTAAGTGTGTGATTAGAAGTAAGAATCATAAGTTAGTGAATTATAAGTTAAAACCCTAGTATACGCGATTTAAGAAAATACGGGTTGAACCGACGGGTACCGTTTGTTATCGAGTGAGTGCACCACTTGAACACTACTTCATTACCTTAATTTCCTTGCTATTAATTGATTAAAATCAGCCCCCAAAATATCCTCAAGGCAGCCGAAATATTGGACCAAAAATAAGAGAGAAAAGAACAAAATTTGACTTCCAATCAAAGTGTGACACTTGTCAACTTTGACCCAAATTAATTCCTATCATTTTAACCTTCTTGAAGCTTCATTTGAGCCTTCATTTTCAGCCTTCCAGCCATGAGTTTGAGAGGAAAAAAGAGAGAGGAAACCATCTCAATCCATCTTGAGCTTAGCTTGTTTGACTGTGAAATCAAGAAAACTAAACCGATTAACTTCTAATTTGAGAGATTAGGAAGCTTGGGGAGCTAAATTTTGCAAGGAAAGGTGAAGGATATCTCTTGCAAGCCTTTTATTGAGGTATTATGTCTGACCATCTTCTGCCTTCCCCTTAGTCTTGTTTAAGTTATGTAGCAACTTGTATTCATGCATTGTGATACCTATTTAAGTGATTTTGATGATTGTGGTGGTGGAATTGTGAGTTAGGGTTTTGAATTGTTCACTTATATTTCTTGTTGTTTAGATGGTATATGGTGTCTATAACCTTGTATAGGAAGCTGAGGTAGTGGTTCAAGCAAGAAATGTGAAGTTTGCACCTTAAATTCATTGAATTCTAGATTTGAAGCTCTTCACTGCCCTATTTTGACCGGTTTTGTTTGGCCATGATTGAGGCAGAATTAGACTTAGCTCAAAACATAAAAGTTTTAGAAAATGATGTTTTGTAACTACATGTAAAATTTCTTCTCAATCCACGTACTGTATCATGTGAAATTACAAAATTACCCTTGCTGTCATAGGTATAATTCTGTGGACAGTTTTGACATTTTCTCATTCTAGCTGCATTTTTTTCACCTTGATCCATATCAAATTAGCATTTGGCCAAAACACAAAACTTTTATCCCTATGTTTCAGCTTTCCAACGCAACTGAAAACACCTCAATTGGACTTTTGTAGCCTGAGTTATTGTCATTTGAACACAGTGCTGTTAACCAGCCTGATGGTGAAATTCTGGTTCTGTAATCTGTAAATTCGACATAGATAAACCGGGAACTGGGTTGAGTTGTCTTCATGAAAGTTGTAGTCCTTTGTCCTAGTTTCAAAATGGTATAAAGTTTACCCCAATTGGATAAGCATAGCTTCAGTTGTGACCGATACGCTTAGAGACATCGAATCTACCATTTAGCCTTTTACCTTCAAACTTGATTTCCGATTGGATTTATACTTATGTTGTACTTGGATGATTGTCGAGCCTAATTGAATGGCTATTGTAATGACATTACCTATGTGTGACATTGGGGCTGATTTGAGGAAAATAATGAACCCATAAATGGCTGAAAAATAGGTAAACACAAGGGGTATGCTACCCACATCTTCACTCGCAAGCTAGTTGGATGTACTTATGACTTGAGCGAAAGGTTTTTAGGGTTGTTTAGGTTTTAAGACCAACTGCTACCTTTTTACTGCAACATCACATTATTATTTCTTCGCACTAGTAGTTCACTTGGCTAGGCACACGACTTATAGTCGAGCTTCATTTGTGCATTTTGTTTCCTGGGTTAGTGGATGGGAGAAACCATAATTGTTCTATCTTGGTTGTTGATAGGACGTGACGGTAATCAAAGCCATCCTTTGGAAGAAAACTTTTGAAGTTATCTTTGCTTGAACTGGTGAGTGTACCACTCCCCTAATTTGTTGCTTATCTGGTTTATCTATCTGGTTTATTTGCACTTGCAACTTGCAACCTGATTATCTGTGACTTTTGTATGCTCTGTATGAAGCGAGGGTGTACTTTATCACACTCGTTTCTCTCATCTGTCTGTTCTGGTTCCTGTATATGTTTGAAATGGTTATCTATATCTGTATCTGTTTTGTGAGGACCCGTAATTTTCTTAATTTCTAGGTTTTAATTTCTTTTAATTATACGTTTTTCCACCTTTTCTTTATTCGAAAAATTGTGCAAATAAATTTTATGAGTAAATATAGCTTTTAAATGATTTTTCTAGTATCGGTTAGTTTTTGAGAAATTAAGAGCGTATATTGGACGTGGGACCCGCTAACTCGGAAAATTTCGGCCCACTGGGTTAAGTTTTGTATACTGGGTTAAATTTATCAGGTGTTAAGAGATAATTAGAGGATACCTAGATGGACTATCATTGGCGAGACAAAAGGATAGAGTTGCATTAAAAAGGGTGACAAGTGTCACCTTCCTATTCAACCTTGACTTTGACCATTATTTCTTACCTTTACTAATACTCAATTTTGACCCAAAAAGCACCTAAATTTCTGCAAGCTTGGCCGACCCTCTCTCTCTCAAGAAAGAAAGAAAAATCTTCAAGTTTTAGCTCCAATCTTGCTCAAGTTGAACCATCCAACCATTTGATCTTGCAATTACTCCATAAAACCCCTCCACTTAGTGATTGTGAAGTGATTGGTGAAGTTATTTGGAAAGCTAAGAGGACTAGTAGCTCTCTCTCTCTTGTTTCTAAGGTGAGTTGTGAAGAACCACCCTCCTCCCTTAATTGATGCTTAAATCATGATTAGTGGTGGTATGAGATGCAATATTATGGATTATTTCTTGATTTGTAGTTGAAGTGATGAAGTTTTATTATTTTTGGGGATTTTTCTGTTTTAATATGAACATGATTGTGTGGCTATCTATTATGATTGGAAATGGTATATAATGACTCTAGGAAGTGGAAAAAGTGATTAATTGCAACCAATTTCTGGTTTGGAAGAAATTTCAGAAAATTAGGGTTCTTGAGGGAGCATTCTGTCCGAATTTTTAGCTCCTATTTAGAGGCCGAATTGGCCTTAGCTTAAAACATGAAAGTTGTAGGTAATGAAATTTTAGAGGTTCCTACAAAATTTCAGATTAATCGGAGTAGTGTAGAATGAGAAAAGTCAAATTTACCCTTGCTGTCCTGGTTTTATCCGAATGTAAGAACTGCGCCTGTAATTGGTTGTTTTGGCTGGAATTGCTTTGGAATTGGTTATTGAGGTCTTCTGATCAAATTTAGCCCTGTTTCTTAGCTTTCATCTGGTTTTGGAATTTCTGGATTTGGACTTGGAGAGCCTGAGTTATGATGTTTCCGCTAGAATGCATTTTGGTGAATCTGTTTTACGTTTTTGATGTAGTATCTTGCATTTTTGACCTGTTTGCACTCAAAACTGGGTTGAGTGACCTTCTGTGATGTTGTAACCCTGTCTTTTAGCTTCGAAATGGTGGGTCTTGAACCCTCATCCAATAATCGTAGTGAAATTGGTGCCATTACCGCAAAATGAGGTCAAAAACTATTTTTTCAGGACTAAAGCTAATTCCATTTCCGGATTTTTCTGGTTTCCTCTAATGCTTATATAAGCTTATGGAACCCTATTGTGATCGTGTTGGCATTGGTTTATGACTTGTAATCGAGTCTTCTTGTGCTTATTGGAATATTCTAGGGCTTGACTTTTATTTCCGGTCATTTTCCTAGCTAACTTTTGTACTTGGATAACCTTGAGCCTATTGAACGGCTGTGGTGATGAATGTATATTGAGAATGACTTTGGGAGTTGATTGAGGAAAATGATGAAGCCGTGATGGCTGGAAAAGTAAGAAATTTAGGGGAAGTGCTGTCCAATTTTTCTAGGCCGATTGGTTCCTTTAAGTTTGAATTGGCTTGTGATAGAAATGAAGGGTTTTTGGGTTGTTGAACCTAGGTCTTCATGTTACCTTTTTGTTCCCAAAAATCATGTTTTGTACCCTTGCATTAGTAATTATTTGGCGAGGCATACGACTAGTAGTCGAGCCTCATATGTGCATTTTGTTTACTCGATTCTGGATGTAAAACCTTCAATTGGTTTACTTTGATTATTTTAGGGTTTATTGGCGATTAAAGCCAATCCGAAGTGAAAACTTTTGAAGTATCTGAACTTGAACCGGTGAGTGTACCACTCCCCTCCATTGCTGTTTAACTTGATTTCTGCTCTGTAATCTGTTTAATTTGTTTGAGACGAGGGTGTACTTTATCACACTCGTTCTCTTGTCTGTTCATATGCCAATTTTGGTGTCAATCTGAATCTGTATCTGTATCTGATATCTGTATCTGTATCTGTATCTGTTCGGACGTCGTTTGGAAACTTGTAACCAACGACCTT